TAGTAGTAGTAGTAGTAGTAGTAGTAGTAGTAGTAGTAGTAGTAGAAGTATTAGTAGTAGTAGTAGTAGTAGTAGTAGAAGTAGTAGTAGTAGTAGTAGTAGTAGTAGTAGTAGTAGTAGTAGTAGTAGTAGTAGTAGTAGTAGTGGTAGTAGTAGTAGTAGTAGTAGTAGTCGTAGTAGTCGTAGTAGTAGTAGTCGCAGTAATGGTAGTGGTAGCAGTGGTAGTAGTAGTAGTAGTAGTAGTAGTAGTAGTAGTAGTAGTAGTAGTAGTAGTAGTAGTGGTAGTGGTGGTAGTAGTAGTGATAGTAGTAAGAGTAGTAGTAGTAGTAGTAGTAGTAGTAGTAGTAGTAGTAGTAGTAGTAGTAGTTGTAGTAGTAGTAGTGGTAGTAGTAGTAGTAGTAGTAGTAGTAGTAGTAGTAGTAGTAATAGTAGTAGTCGTAGTTTGTAGTAGCAGTAGCTCGTGGAGGAGGAGGACGAGGAGGAGGAGGAGAGGCTGAGTTGTGTGTACGCGTTTGTGGATTGGGAGCATGGCCTCAGGGCGACTACACCTACGGCCTCCAGCTCAGCGTCGAGTGAGCCCGCGGCCAGCTAGGGCGTCTGCCCAAATTTGCCGGGTCTGGGCGTGTGGCACCTTCCTCCCTCTCTCCTCCTCTTCCTCCTCCTCCTCCTCTTCTTCCCTACTCTCCGCCTTCCTCTCTTCATCTTCCGCCTGCCCACGCCATCCCCTGTCCTCCCTGCGCCCCCCCCTCTTGCCCCCCCCTGCCTTCAGGGCTCGCCACAGCGGGCGCCACTCGCTTCCGTCTCGGCATGCCGCCACTGGGCATGAGCGTTCCCGCCCTCCCTGTGGTCCCTCCTGGTGGCAGCCCAGCCTTGCCGCCCTGGTTGCTCAATGGACCCCTCAGGCGTCTGCCTGGCGGCCTTCCGCCCCTGGCGCTCACTCTGCGGCTCGTTGTTGCACATTCTCCCCCTGTGCAGTGCAGATACCAACACCCTCGAGCCCGCTCGGTGTGCCCCGCCTTTCGGGCGGGTGGTAAGGCGGTGTGGCCTGAAGGAACGGGGGGGAAGAACATTGCTCTGAAGGCCCCTTTAGGGCTCCTGTGGGAGCCAGCAGGGGCCCAAAAGGGGCCCTGAAGGGCCTCTGTAGGGCTCTTTACCTCCCATGTAGGTCCCCGCCCCATTGCCACCCGCCCTAACCTCTTCCAGTACTTCCTGTACTTCACCACCCACCAAACCACCCCAACCCAACCCGAAGGCTCAAATTTACCCTCGATTTCCAGAGGGGGGGGTCGGGAAACATAGAAAAAACACATGTGGAACCTTTACCCCCCCCAACCCGAAATTCGGGCCTTCGGGTTGGGTTGGGGTGGTCTGGTAGGTAGTCAGTACTTGCTACTCGCCCGAGCCTGGGCCGGTGCACGCCTCCAGAAGACATTCCCCGGCTGCGCCGGCCGCCTCCTCCCTGTGCCCCCTTCCGCCCGCGGCCGCCCGCCCCGTGTCTCCCGCTGTCTCTTGCTGGGCCTTCTTCGAGCTCCCCGTTCAGTGCCCCCTGGGCTGCTCGTCCGGCCTGCGCGCTCGCCGTGTCCTGAACAAACAGGGGTCCCCCTCCCCCCTCTCCCCTTCCCCCCGCCCTTTCTCCCCCCCCCCCCCCCCCCCCCCCCCTCTTCTTCCTCCGCCTCCTCTCCGCCTTCTCCTCCCCTCCTCCTCCTCCTCCTCCTCCTCCTGATTACCCCTTCCTCTTTCCATTCCCTGGCAGTTGTGGATCGGAGTGAAGAGGCGCGGGTGGGTCGCGACCTACCCGCGCCGTTTCGCACCCGCGACCCGACCCCACCGCGACCCACCCGCGCCGCGACCCACCCGCGACCCGTCCACCCCCGCCGGCGACCCACCCGCGCTGACGACGACGACAATGACAGGAGCAGCAAGAAGAACAACACGGACAACAACAGCAGCAACGACAATCCGCACCGCGGAACCCCACTGCCGCCACGCAGCCAAGGAGTGTGTAAGACCGTTCGGCCCCCTCATTCTGAGAAGTAGACCTCCTGAGCAGCGCGGCCACCCGACGTTCGACATCCCCCGAGCGCCCTTCGATGCCGTCGGCCTCCCCGCCCAGCGGCAGCTGCACGCGCGCCACGACCAAGGAGATAAACGTCTACCGCTTCACAGTCAGCCCATGACGCGAGCAACGATAAAATGAGCATACACTTTCGCAGACACGTGGTAGGACAGCGCGATGGGGAATCGTACATTTTCGTAATCCCGCACGCCTCGCTGTGCTCGTTTGTCCGCGAATCGACTGGGACTGCCCTCCTTCTTGGCAGCGGGTATCTCGATCAGGGCAAGAAGGAGCATTCACTTCCTCAGGTCTTCGCGGATCTCTCGGGTCGGTGCTGGGCTCCCCTCCCCTGGCGCGCGACGCACGCCATGGGTCACCACCCACCAAACCACCCCAACCCAACCCGAAGGCTCAGATTTACCCCCGATCTCCAGTGAGGGGGGGTCGGGAAACATCGAAAAAACACATGTGGACCCCTTACCCCCCCCAACCCGAAATTCGGGTCTTCGGGTTGGGTTGGGGTGGTCTGGTAGGTAGTCAATGGGGCGGCGACGGAGGATTCTGGTACATATCAGCATCGGCCCTGGCATATCCTTGGCGGGAGTGTGGCCAAATCCAGCTGAACCCCGCTGAATCCGCTTGACTCCGGCCGAATCTAGTTGAGTCCGCGGCACCCTTTCCTGATTCGGCGTATCATCCGCCTCGGGCTCACCAGTCTCGTGGTCGCGGAGTACACCCGTACCCACGGCCTCGCGTGCCGGGCCTCTGGGCCGCGACCCCGCGGACATGGGACGTTTTTTCCCAGGATGCCCTGGGCGGGACGTATCCGTGCGACCGCTCACCCACGTGATCGCGCCTGGGAGTCCAGATCGCGAGAGCATGGATATGGATACTTTCGCCGCTCGGAATGTGAGGGGCAAAGAAGAAGAATAAGAAGAAGAAGAAGAAGAAGAAGAAGAAAGGACCGACACCAGCACTCTCCAGACCTCTCCAGGGATGCGTTCTGACCAGAATTCTCAGGCGATTCCAGCCGTGGCGACGAGGACACGGCATCGGTATCTATATACTTTCTTCTTTTGGTGATCGCCTTTCATCATTCCCACGAAGACCCCCCAGGAGGTGCCCCCTCTCTATCGATGATCTTTTCGCCATGCAAGGAGGAATCAATGCTGGTCTACTCTGTAAGAATTGATATGCCGATCAGTTCAGCTGATCTGCAGGCAGATAATTTCTACATCACGGATGGACATTTTAACATAATATCTGTTTCCAAATAAGAGTAGACCAGTCTTTCCCTTCGTTGGCAGCCTTGTTTGCACCGTACCTTGTTGGCGTCTCCTGAGGCGTCGTCATCGGCCCCCGACCCAGAAATGGTACGGTGCACCGAGTTCCAGCCCTCAGAGCTGAAAAACTATGCACCGTACCGTGCTTGATCGGGGCCTGAAGGGAGTCCAAACGTGGTATGGTGCATGGGCACTGGTCCCCACCCTACGGATTTATTCTTGTTGAAGGCAGATCTGCCATGGAGCCGAAGAAGATTCTCTCCCCTCCCCAATCGATGATCTTCTCATCTTCTGATGATTGTCCTTCATCGTCGGATGCTTCTCCCCTCCCTCTGATGAGCTTCTCCTCTCCCCTCCCTCCGTACCCTCCTCCTTGCAAGGCTGGTCTTTAGCCGGTCCCGTGAGGACCCCCCAGGAGCTGCCCCCCCCCGTCGACGATCTCCTCGCCATGGCACGGCGCTCCCGTGGCCCCCGCCTCCCGAGCCCGCGATCGGCGCCGCCAGGCCTGGGGCCCGCGGGGCGGCGCCTCCTCGCGGGCGTCCGAGGCGGGCCTGTCGTGAAGCTCGTATTTCGACCGACGTGGCCTTTCATCAAGGTCGGGGGGGTAACCAAGACGCAGCCACTTTCGTGCACCTCCCCCCTCCCCCTCCCCCTCCCCCCTCCCCCTCCCCTCCCCCTCCTCCTCCTCCTCCTCCTCCTCCTCCCCCCTCCTCCTCCTCCCCTCCTCTCCTCCTCCTCCTCCTCCTCCTCCTCCTCCTCCTCCTCCTCCTCTCTCCTCCTCCTCCTCCTCCTCCTCCTCATCCTCCTCCTCCTCCTCCTCCTCCTCTCCTCCTCCTCCTCCTCCTCCTCCTCCTCCTCCTCCTCCTCCTCCTCCTCCTCCCCCCCCTCCTCCCGCCTCCCACTTCCCTGACCCCTCCTCCTCCTCCTGCCCCTCTGCCCTCTCCCCTCTGCCCTCTCCCCCTCCCTCTCTCCCTCCCTCTCCCCCTCCCTCTCCCCCTCCCTCTCCCCGTCCTCCACCGCCTCCACCTCCACCACATCCTCCTCTTCCTCCTCCTCGTCCTCCCCCTTCCACGAAAGAGGAGGACGCGACGGGGGGAGGACGCGACGGGGGGGAGGGTCGCGACGGGGGGGGGGGGTCGCGACGGGGGAGGTCGCGTCGGGGGGGGTCGCGACGGGAGGGGGTCGCGACGGGAGGGGGTCGCGACGGGAGGGGGTCGCGACTGAAGGGGGTCGCGACGGAGGTGGGTGGCCAGTGGACCGGTCGTCGTCCTGCGGTCCTGTATGGGCTGGGTTGGGACGTCCGACTCGGTTCACGTCGGTTCGGTTCGGGGGCCACCCGGTTCTGGTTCCGGCTCGGTTCCGGTTCTAGATCGGTTCGGTTCCCCCCGGTTCGGTTCTGAACGAATTCGGTTCGGTTTGGTTCGGTTTTTGATTTTCTTGTTTTGGTCCGGTTCGGTCCGGTTCGGTCACGGTTATCGGTTCTGGGTTCGGTTGGGTCCCTCTGCCTCTCCTCCTCCTGGTCCCCCTGCTCCACCAGGGAGGCCGCCCAGGGGAGGGGAGGGAGGGCCGCCGGGCCCCTCGGGGTGGCGGCAATCTGACCCGTGACCTCTCCCCTTACCCCTACCCCTACTCCCCCCTAACCCCTCGGAGATTGATAGACCTCCTGCCCTGCCACGTCGATTGAGGAGTTGGCCGTTCTCGGTTCGCGAGAGGGCGTCGCGGCCGTTACTTTTGCGGGTCCAGGTCCGTCGGTTTCGGTCCCAGGCCGTTTTCACTAAGGGGAGGTTTACTAAAGGGAGGTTTGTCCACCGCCGACTACTCCCCCCTGACCCCCCCGGGTCCCTCCCTCTGCCCTCCCCCCCTGGCAGGGAGGGGACAGGGAGAGGGAATCGACTTTACTGCGACGTTTCTTTTACGACGTTTCTTTCTTTGGTCGCTTCTAGGTTTCCTTGGAACTGGCGACGGCGACGACGAATTCGACGACAGCGTTTCACATACGCCGAATGGGTCGGCAGATATGGCACGAGCACGCCCAGCACGCGAGCACGCGAGCACGCAAGCACGCGCGAGCCAGTTAACAACATCCTCCTACCTGATTCGCTGACACCGACCAGCTGGCGGCATACAGTTATCAAAGTGCTTCACACAAGCGGAGGCCCACAGCAACCAAATAATTAGAGACCAATTGCTAGCATTCCCATGCTGTATAAACTCTTCTGGCGGCTTCTTTACATCCGGCTGCACCAGCTCTTAGACAGCAACCAAAGCGCCGACCAAGCTGGCTTCCGACCACGCCGCAGCACCACCGACCGCTTATTCACGACAGCAATACTGCAAGAAACCGCAGACGAATGGCAACTCCATATGTGGTCGGCCGCAGAGGACTTCAATAAAGAATTCGACAGCATTACACACGCGAGCAAATGGGAGTCGCTTGCAGAGCAGCATTCACACGCACCGTACATCTACTTGCTGGCAAAACTCTATCAGGACCAGACGGGCTCAGTTCACACAGACCGCAGAAGCAGACCAGTCAACGTCCTGCGGGGAACCCAGAAATGACCCCCCCTTAGTTCACTACTTTTCAACAGCGTGTGAGATAACATCATGAGGCGAGCCAAACAAACATGGGCATCTATGAATTACGGCTTCAAACTCAAACTGCACGCGGGTGACCGACTCACCAACCTTTGCTTCGCGGATGACATCTTCTTATTTGTTGGTCACTGAACCACCTGACACATATGCTGACCGACCTCATCACCGAAGCGGGCAAGGCAGGCCTAACATTGCATCCTGACACAACGAAGATCATGCACAACAGCCACAGACCACCGCGCAGCACACGCACACCCGAAAGCGTGCACCGTACCGCACCACGAAATATCTCGGACGGTTGCTGCAGCACAATGCACTTCACATAACGGAAATCGAAAACCGCATTGCCACAGCCTGGCGGAAGCTTCGCATGTAGCAACAGGAATTTACTGGACCAACCTACTTTCAATCAGACCGACTTCGCCTCTTTCACGCAACCATCACGCCGACTATCTTGTACGGTTGCGAAGCCTGGACGCTCACCACCGGCTTAGCAAACCGACCTGGGCGAACACAGCGACAAATGTTCGCATGATTGTGCGAGCACCACGGGGCAATTTTGCAAACATTGTCATCCAATCATCACAGCAAGCACCGGATTTACATACCAACAGCCCGAATGACGGCACCGTGTTGAATTCCGCCGAGGACGACGATTGATGTGACGTGGACAGCGAGCCACCGGATGCTACGCCGCGTGTTCCGTATGATGACGACGATGTAGACATTGACAAGTTGGAGCCATGGATTGGATCAATCGGGCCACCCAGAGAAACGAATGGCAATGGATGCGGAAGTTGAGTGCCACTGGAGAGCAGGAGTGGATGCGACAGGTAATTCAGCGGACTCCACAACATGATCTGGTGTATCTTTCCAGATGGATCGATGACACAAGAAGGCATCTCGAATATTACCTTGGGTGTGACGGCGTGAGTATCTCAACTATCCTTACTACGGCGTCGATGGGTTTTTGGGGCGATTTTGGGGCACATTCTATGTCGCACCATATATGAATACGCTGCGCCATGTGAAAAGTCAGACATTCCATTTTTCATCCATCATCTATCTTTGCACTACGACTTCCAACTACCGACCGCCAGCCTCCACCAGTTTTTGCCTTCCGACCTACATCCACCAGCATCCGACTTTCTGCTTCCACCTCCACCTATCGACTTCCAGCTTCCACCTGTTCAGCATGCAGACCTCCTGCATCTAGCTTCCGACTCTCCCCCCCGCACCTTTTTCTATCGATTTCTAACTTCCAGCAGTTCAGCACTCTGATCACCAGCTTCCAGCATCCGACTTCCATATCTACCTCCGCCTATGGACCTCCAGGCTCCACCAGCCCAGTACTCCTACCTCCACCATTCAACATCCGACTCGCCATTTTCACCTCCTTCCTGCCGACCTCCAGCCACCACCAGTTTAACATTCCGACCTCGAGCCCGCAGCAGACTGTCTTTTTCGACCTCCACTTATCGACAACGACCCCACCAGTGCACACCTCCGACTCTCGGCGATCAGCGTCCAACTTTCCACGTCCACATCCACGTCTATTTCTCGATTTTCCCGTCCCTACCCGCTCAGCACTCTGACTTCCAGCATCCAGCAGTCGACTTTCCACCGTCATCTCCGACAATTGACCGCCAGCCTCCACCAGTCCAGTATTCCGACTTCCAGTTTCGAGCGTCCGACTTTCCATCTCCACCCCCTTTATCGACCTACAGACTCCATTCGCGCACCACTCCAACTTCCAGCTTACGGTTTCCACCTTCCAGCATTCAGGCTTCAACATGCACTTCAACGTCCAGCATCAAGCACCCGACTTTTGACCTCCACCTCCGACTATCCACTTCAAGCCTCCAACACATGAGCAGTCCGACCTCCAGTGTCCAGCATCCGACTTTGAAAGGCCACCTCCAACCATCGACCTCCAGTTTCTACAAGCTCTCCAGCCTCCAACATTGAATTTACCACTTCCACCTCCACCTGTTGACCCTCAACCCCCGCCAACTCAGCACTTCACCTGGACTCGAGCATTCGATGTTCCATGTTCACTTCCACCTCACGTTGGAGATAGAGACGAAATGTTCAATGCAGCATCGGCGGATCTGGCAAAATATCGGCTCACAGTTCACGTCGCGCTAAGTATGAACAAGCTGCGCGGGTGGCTCAAGTATGTCAATCTACCACAAGGGGGCTTTGGAACGAGGTCGAGCTGGATTTCTGATCGGGCCTCATTTTTCTCCTTGTGCACCAGCGCCCCCGCGCCGCACCCGCAGCACCCCAGACGGTGCCCATATGCGGGCGTGCTTCGTGCTTCGCATTTCCCCCTTCAAGTTGTCCCGAAGATCTCCCGGGCCCTCCGCGTTTTTTGTTTTTGTTTGTTTGTTTGTTTGTTTGTCTTGTGTTGTTGTTTTTGTAGTTGGTTTGTTTTCGTCTTCTTCTTCTGCCTTCTTCCCGAGGGTCTTAACTATTGTTTTTTTTGTGGCCTTTGCCATCCAAGTGTTTTCGGTGTTTCAAGCTAGTGCTCCAGCTGCAGCGTGGGCCTCGTTTTCGGATCGGCGCGTTTCTCCCGTCGTTCAGAATGGCGCGCTCGCCCCAGCGCGGGCCTTTTTTCTGAATCCGAGTCTTTGTTCACATGTCGCTCCCGCTCATTTCCCCTCCTCCGCCTTCCCCTGGTCCTCCTTTCCCTCCCGATCCTTCCGCTTTAGTTTCTGTTGCTGCTGATCGTCGCCATCTTTTTCCTCCCGCTCATCCTCCTGCTCACCCGCCACCTCCGCCTGTGCACGCAGTTTCCCTTTTCCGACTGCGCATAACCCGAACTTATCTTTCTGTGTAAGTCGCAGGCCGGCTATGACACGCGTCCGCGCACAGAGAAACATCAGCGCCATGGGAAGGGATGGGAGGGAGGCGTAGGATGTCAGATGAAGCGCGAGCGCGGAGGGTGCCCCCCCCCCCCCCCCCGCGGAGGCACGTTGTGGACCGGACAGGTGCGCACGAGCAAGGCTGCGATTGGCGCACCCCCCCTCCCCCTGCGTTGGCGCACCTCCTCGCTGCCCATTCACAGACGGATTTCAATGAATTTTGTGTCGTGTGCGTGGCTGCCGACTCTGCCAGAAACAGCCCGCTGGGGGGGACGCTCTCCCTGCCCTGGCCCCGGGGGCGACGATGGGAGCGAAGGCCCAGGGGCGGGTATTACACGTGTCGCCGAAGACATGGACCATCGGCGCGCCTGGATGCTCCAGATTTCGTAATAAAGGGAGGGGGGTCTCATTTCGGGGGGGGGTCTCTTCCAGGCTATCTTGGAAGGCCTGGGGGGTCTGGGGACGATGTTTTGGAGGGTTCTCCCACGGGGGAGGTCTGAAATGGCCTGTCTTGGAGGGTCCAGACCCCCTCCTTTTTATTACGAAATCTGGAGTACACGTGTTGCTCCTGGGCTATTCGCCCTCGTCGTCGCCTTCGACGGCCGTGCCCGTCCTCGCCGCCGCGCGCAGCTGCTGGTGCGTGCCCACGGCAGGGCGGACTCTTGCAGCTGGGCCCCCCAGGGCGTGCGGCGCGTGCCTGCCCAGGAGCCAGGTGCTGCAGGTGACCCTGCCCGTTCTCGTGGTCTCTCTCTCCCTCCTCGTGCCGCCCCCGCTCCTCCTCCGAGCAAGGAACAACAGTGGCATGAACGCAAGTTTTCGGAGCTCCGCGCGGATTTCTTGGATCGGGGTCGGATTTTCGCCATGCCGATGTCGCCGATGCATCGCTGACGACGCCGATGCATCGCCGGTGTATCGGAGATGCATTGGCGATGCGGCGCGATCCTCCGATCCCATTTTTTCGCACCCCATCTGGGAGGCATCTAGTTCTCGTTCTCTCTCTCCCTCCTCGTTCCGCTCCCGCTCCTCCTCCTCCTCCTCCTCCTCCTCCTCCTCCTCCTCGTCGGCCTCACGCGCATTGTTACGGCTGGCGTTGGAGTGATGGCGTGCGATGCCGCGCCGCGGTCCCGCTTGTCACATGCTATCCCCCACTTTGGGGGCAGCGTGCACCGACGAGGCCCTGGCAAGGGGGATGGCGTGCGCAGAAGGGTCCATTTCGGGGAGATCGCCTCACAGGGATAACGTACTTTTCGGAGAGAGATGTGGCACGCCATCTTTCCAGCGCCAACCGTACAACGCATGCGGTGCTCCAGGACGGGCCTGGCATTCGGCGTATGCTCGCCTCGGGCCTTCGGCGGAACTCGGCGGAAGGCCAGCGGAAGCCAGCGGACGTCAGCGACCACGGTGGCATCATCACAGGGGACGTCCAGGAGGGGGTTGAGTGGCAGGAGGAAGAGCAGGGAATCTTGGATTGGTGATGCGGAGGACGAGCAGGGTGAGAGAGGAGGGATGCGGGAGTGAGGAGGGGGGGCGGAGAGGAGAGGGGTGATCATGGAGGACGGAAGAGTAAGGCGGCAGAAGGGAGGTGAGAGGAGGCGGGAATAAGAGTACGAGAGTGCCGCGAGGCGATGATGTTGATGATGAGGAGGCGTGAAAACGTTTTGGTGATGATGCGGATGCTGGTGCTGGTGTTGATGCTGATGCTGATGCCCGAGTCATCACGACACGAACCTGCCTACGGAGAGGGGGGTATCCCGAGGCGGGGCTAGAGGACGCACCCACCTGGACGCTCACATTTCCTGCTCAGGGACCGTACAGAGCGATTGTTCTCAACGCCCACCCCTTGCCCTGCCCCACCTTTCTGTACCTTTAAGCCCCTCCGAACGAGGGTCGTACTGTACACAGAAGGCCCCAGCTGGACAAATCCTGGGCCCAGGAGATCGGTGTGCGTGTGTGTGTGTGTGTGTGTGTGTGTGTGTGTGTGTGTGTGTGTGTGTGTGTGTGAGTGTGTGTGTGTGTGTGTGTGTGTGTGTGTGTGTGTGTGTGTGTGTGTGTGTGTGTGTGTGTGTGTGTGTGTGTGTGTGTGTGTGTGTGTGTGTGTGTGTGTGAATGCTCTCCTGTTCCTGCCTGTCCCTGCCTTCTTTCTCGTCCTCCTCCGCGTCCGTCCCTGCTCTCGCTGCCCTGGCCGCCGTTCTCCTGGGCCATCTTTGCGCTTTGCTTGTCGCGTCTGCTTACTTGCTGCGACCGCCACGGCGCGAGGCGCGTAGCCGCCGAGGTAAATGTGTGCGCGTGCGCGCGTGTGTGTGCTCGCGCGTGCGTGTGCGCGCGCACGCGCGCGTGTGTGTGTGTGTGTGTGTGTGTGTGTGTGTGTGTGTCTGTGTGTGTGCTTGTCCTCGTCCTCGCCCTCTTCCTCATCCCTCCCAGCCAGGCGGGCTTCCGGCCGCGACGGCTCGTCTTCTCATTCGCCCCCTCGGCGTGCACGCCAGTCGGCGCGCCCCGGCCCCCCGTACCAGAAGCATGGGCTCCTGCTGCGGCATGCGCATCCCAGGCCCGGCACGGCCCTGGCAATGGAGCAGCCGGTTTTGGCACTGGCTCTGGCGCCCCCCCGCCTCTGACTCCTCGGTCACTGCTGATCTTGGTGCTCTCGGCCCCCTTCCTGCCGCTCCTCCCTGGCTCCCTGTGGTCTTTTCGGCTCCCTCATGGCGCCCGCGCGAGTCCCGCATCCGCGAGTTCTTCGACCTCCAGGGTGCTCTTGCCGCACTCGATTCGGACGCGCTCCGCGCCATGCTTCCAGGCGCCGTTGCCGCCTGCCCTGACCTTGGGCCCCCTTCGGGCGATGCCTCCTTAGACATGTTCTGGCACTTTGATGTTGAGGCCTGGATCGACTTGGGCTGTCCCCCGCTCAACGACCAGCACCTTCCCGCATACTGGGTGCGTGGACCTCGTGCTCTGCCTGGGGCTCCACACACTGGCCCTCATGATCCCTCCGTGCCTCCTCCCGCACCCCAGAGGATGTCTGATGATGCCTCCGCAAGCAGGCACACGCAATGGTCAGGACTCGCAACCCGTGGGGTCGTCATTCCCGCGGTACTTTGAAGCCGTGCTTCCTTATCAGGAGGCGCCACATAATGTGGCGCCCCCTCCTGCGCGGTCTCCACGGGTCCGCCCCTCGTGAACCTCTCCTCATGGCCGTCGGTGCCCTCCTGGCACCCACACGGATGCTTGTCTTCTTCATTGACCGCTGCCACGCACTCGGGGGCATCTTGGCCCCCCCTCCCCCTCCTGTGTCTCGCACACACGGTGCACGTGCCGGCTCTCGCCGTCGGGGCCTACAGCGCTCCAGGTCAAGGGCCACAGTAAACCCAGACCACCTGGCACCCGACGGACGGCCCCGCCGAGCCTCCACAGGGCCGCCAGAGGTTCCGATCTCCTGCACGCTTGAACCCCCATGCGTCGTAGGCCAGCGCCTCCGATGCCGACGCAGCCGACGCTGCGGCCGCCACCCCTGTCCGTCCGGCCCCTCCGGCCGGCCCTTGTGAGCACACTGCGCACATCCCTATCAGGGAGCTCTCTCGCAACCAGCTGGTCACGGCCAACCTTTGGAGGGCGCTCCTCCACAGGGGTCCAACTCCCATTCCGCCGACCCCAGAGTGCGCTTCCCCAAACACCTCCGCTCCTTTCTCGAGCGTGCCTACGGGT